TTAAAGAGTCTGTCATAATAGGCATTTATATGCCTAAATCTGTTTTGATTCTTTTTTTTAAGATTTTATTTATTTATTTTTTAGAGAGGGAAGGGAGAGAGAGAGAAACATCAATGTGCAGTTGCTGGGGGCCATGGCCTGCAATCCAGGCATGTGCCCTGACTGGGAAATGAACCTGCGACACTTTGGTTCACAGCCCATGCTCAATCCACTGAGCTATGCCAGCCAGGGCTGTTTTGATTCTTCTTGAATGTTTCTGTACTTGCCAACTAAAGCCAACACTTCAGAACCAACATTCTAAGGGATTTCCTGCCAATTATGCCAGGGAGTTTGGTCTGGATTTTAAATGAGTTAATAGACATTTTTTAAAAAATTATTGAGCCCAGGCTGGTGTGGATTAGTGGATTGAGTGCCGGCCTGTGAACCAAAAGGTTGTTGGTTCAATTCCCAGTCAATGCACATGCCTGGGTTTTGGGCCAGGTTTCCCAGTTTGGGGTGGGGTGGGGGAGTGAGAGGCAACCGATTGATGTGTCTCTCACACAGGGATGTTTCTCTCCCTCTCTTTCTCCCTCCCTCTCCCTCTCTCTAAAAAGTAAATAAATAATATATTTTTAAAAATACTTATTGAAAATTAAATATTATGTATTAAATTATTTTAAATCCATTTAAATTAAAGTATTTTTAATTTAAAATTGAATGGGTGTTATAAACCAGCTCTACTTGGGGATGGGGATGGTAATTTCTTACACTAAAATGGCAGCCTTCATTTTATGAACGAATTCACCCAAAGATATCACAAAAAGTTTAGGTAGAAGTTTAGATATACAAACATATGTTCCTAAAATATGGGATTACATTTTCTTCCCTCTAGAAACACCTATACCAAACTAATAATTATGGTTGTTTCTTGGGTACAGGAATTGTTTTATTATTGTCTTTTCTTTTTCTGATATGTACATTGTTGGGAACTGCCCTACCTAGTTTCAGAAGCTATAACCCCCCACCACCATGGCTAAGGCTGAATAAAGGACCTTAGGACCATAAGCCGCTTAGGAGACAAAGCTTATCTTCCTTGTAGGGGCACCACCTCTGCCCCCTTTCTCTTCACCCTGCTTGGCCCCCGACAGATGACTGGTTAGCCAAAGATGGATAAGATTCCTCAAAAGTGGAATGACCTAAGACAGGCATGGTCATGAAGGGGCCCTCGGGGAAGGCCTTGGGGGGCTATAGAAAAAGGGGGTGATGGACCCTCACCCCTTGGCTTTGACATGGCCTGAGTTCTCATTCTGTCTGCAAGATGTCTCCTAATCTCTTGGCTGCCTTACTTCTCCTGGGTGACTTAAACCTGAAATAATGCCTTAAGCCTGAAACAATGCTGGAGGTGGGTGTGGCCCTCTGCTGGAAAGGGTGGGTATCCCAGGGTGATCAGACCTAAGAAAGAATGCATAAAATCCTATGAAATCTACTTTGCTAATTTAAATGATAAGGGTCCAAGCAGGAAGTGAGTTTGTTCCCCAAAGTTTTATGGCCCTTTAACTATCTGACCCTGACTCAGAATAAGCACTCGGAGTTTTTTTTAATGTTATCTATTGTTTAATCATTTATACCTGACAATGATTGATGAGCTTTACATATACACCCTGTATTCCTGTGCAAATTGGACCCAATAAAAGCTTGTCAAGGCAGGGGTCGGGGGCGCTCTCCCCTCAAGAGAATGGCTGCAGCATCCCTTTTCCTCCACAGGACTTGGTAGTCCATGTGAATTTGTCTCATATCTCATCCACAACACCTCAGACCCCGGGAGCCAGGATCCACAACAGTACATATTATTTTTATTAGAATGAAAATATTTCAAAGTTCTTCCAGTACAAATTTAAAATTTTTGCATTGGAAAATTAGGATTTATGTTTCATTTTAAGGAAAGTGCCTTTTCATCAGCTATCTACTGAGTACCTATGGTGTGTCTAGCATTGTATTAAGAGAACCCCAAAGTCAAATTCCTACCTCAGGGAATCTCAATCATATTGGCAAGGTTCATAGGCATCTTTGCAATAAGTAGCTAACACATGATAGATTCTTCATAAACATTTGTGTAATAACTATATGAATGTACCATCAAAGCTATTTCTTTATTTAAACTCTCATTTCATAGAGGATTAGCCCTATTCTGCATATTTATTGTACATAATCATATTTTACTACTTCTAAGATACACATTGCTTACTTTTTAACTACTCTGAAATCAGAATGGGACTTATTATCAATGTAATTTTTTACGCTATTATTTTAGAGATAATTTTCACATTGTCTTTCCTATAGTGGTAAATAAAATACCAGTATGTTTTACATTGATGACACCTTAGGTTGAGCAAAGCACAATATATATTATATTCTCTACATATTAGAAAATACATATGAATATTTAGGCATGTTTCCTTGAGGTTTAACTGTAAAGGTTTTCATAGGGCCATTCAATTCAATGAACATTCAAGTCTCCAATGATTATATGAAAGTCATACTTACTCTTTTATAAATGTTAAACAGCTGACAAGTAACAACGTGGTACAAAGTTGTGCATTTATTTCTCAATTTTTTAAAATTACTATTGAATTTTAAACATATATCTCCAATTATGAACCTATTCAAGGAAGAATGTACTTAAAATTATGTGCATTTCTAAGCACTTATGTGCTTAAAAGATTTTCATATTTTAGTGTTTGAAATTAATCAAAGATTTAAAAGATCTGAGAAATATTAAAATGATTAAACAATATAAGAACTCAGAAGGTATAGAAACAACACTGACAAAACCTTCTAGGAGAGATGAAATTTAAAATCAAAATGAAATGCTATGGCAAAGACAGACAAAGAATGCTGAAAAAATTAGTAATGACAAAAAGAACAAAACATCACCAGAATAATTTTCTTCACCAGAATAAAATGTGACTCATCAGTAAGGTATAACTTTCCTTACCTGCACAATAAATGAATCACTTTGAGTGCTGCAATATAAGACAGTAGGCAAATGAGATAAAGACAGCAAATAAATATAGAAAGCTATTTTATTAATAATAATTGACACATACAAGTTCTGCGAATGTTATACCAGATACATCAGGTTACAATCATATAGTCCTTTCCTCATCTCTTAACCTTTTTTCTTTCATACTTTCTCATGGGTAAGTTTTAGCTGATGTGGCTGTTTGGAGTAGAGGGCAGGAAAAAGCAGGGAAAGCCATCCTTGCAGTCCAGTGACTGTTGCCTGTCCCTCACCCTCTCATCCTATGATTGCCAGGTCTTCTAAGATATCTTCACTGAGGACCTGGGAGAGCTGCAGTTACCTGCTTTTTCCTCCACCACCCCACACTGCCTTCTTGTCTGGGATTAGGAATGTTGAGTTTGGAAGTACACGTGCCCTTTGCTCCTTCATCTAGGCCCTCACTCCCTGCTCCTATCCACTCAATGCACAACTGGCCTGCAAACTGAGTATAACAGAGTAGCCCACCCACAAAAGAGGGCAATACAGCTCCTTTTTCTATTGTATATTTTATCAAATAGTTCTAAAACTTGACAAATTTTCATCACTATAAAATAAAAAGGAAAATTTACTGAACATGGTAACAAACACTGAACATAGAAAAAAAAACTCTTGACTTTTACCACCAATGTTACATCAAAATCTAAAAGACAAGAAAGAGGTGACAACTAAGAAAAATGCAGTGCTTTTGTGGCTATGAGTTTACAAAAATATTATTATGAGTTTCTAATTACACTGTTATTACTGAATAATTTTCCCTTGACTTCCAGGTTCTGATTTACTTCTAAGTTTTCAATTGAGTTTATAATTGTATGGACATTTTTGGCAGAGTGGAAAGGGCAAGACAAAACCCAGATAAAATTCATTTTGGTAAAATTAAGTCTGAAATGTACATAAACAATACAATTGTCTTTAACCACCAACTTACACCATACAAAAAAATAAACTCAAGATGCACAAAAGCCTTAAACGTAAGTCACGTGACCATAAAAGTCCTAAAGGAAAACATAGGCAGGAAGATCTCAGATATTCCACACAACAATATTTTCACCGATATGTCCCCTAGAGCAAGGGACATAAAGGAAAGAATAAACAAATGGGACTTTATCAAAATAAAAAGCTTCTGCATGGCTAAAGAAAACACTGACAAAATGAAAAGGAAACTAACCATATGGGAAAACATATTTGCAAATGATATCTCAGACAAGGGTATGATCTCCAAAATATACAAAGAACACATACAACTCCACACCAGGAAGACAAACAATCCAATTTAAAAATGGGAAAAGGACCTGAACGGACACTTCTCCAAGGAGGACATACAGAGGACCCAGAGACATATGAAAGGACGCTCAGCATCACTAGCCATCAGAGAGCTGCAAATTAAAACCACAATGAGATATCACTTCACACAGGTCAGAATGACCATCATTAACAAATCAACAAACAACAAGTGCTGGCAAGGATGTGGAGAAAAGGGAACCCTAGTACGTTGCTGGTGTCAGTGATGACTGGTGCAGCCACTGTGGAAAACAGTATGGTATTATCTGAAAAAACAAAAAATGGAATTGCCTTCAGACCCAGCAATTCCACTGCTGGGATTATACCCTAAGAATCCTGCATCACCAATCCAAAAAAGCCTATGCACCCCAATGTTCGTAGCAGCACAATTTACAATAGCCAAATACTGAAAACAGCCTAAGTGCCCATCAGTAAATGAATGGATCAAAAAACTGTGGTACATTTACACAACAGAATACTACACAACAGAAAGAAAGAAGGAGCTCCTACCCTTCACAACAGCATGGATGGGACTGGAGAGCATTATGCTAAGTGAAGTAAGCCAGGCTGTGAAAGATAAACACCATATGATCTCACCTATAAGTGGAACCTAATCAAGAAAATAAACAAGCAAGCAAAATATAACCAGAAACATTGAAATAAAGAAAAAACTGACAGTAGAGGGGATGGGGGTGGGAATAATGGAGGTAAGGAGGGAAAGTGTCATCAATGAACATGTATAAAGGACCAATGGACAAAGCCAAAGGAGGGTAGGATTGAGGATGTGAAGTGGCAGTGGGTGGGGCGGGGGAAAGTGGTGATGGGAAAATGGAGACAGCTGTATTCAAACATTAATAAAAAAATGATTAAGAAGAAAAAAATTAAATTGTCTTTAAGAGGACACTGTCTGAGGGAGGGGTAGTATGGGTTGCTTTTTTAAACAAAATATTTTCAAGAAAGCCTTCTGAAAGCGTTTGTGACACAATGGATACAAAAAAGGATTGATGAGGGAATTACACCACTGAAGCCAAAATGTGACCTCGTAGACAATTGTTTCAGCTGCCCCAAACGTGTAAAATTGCTGACCTGACTTATAAATTGAATGAACAAATGTGAACAGAGAATAAGGAGCCCAGCAAACGATGAAAACACCTAAGAGAATGGCGAGTGACTTGGCTAATTTCTTGACTTTGAGCAGTGCAATATATTCTTTTTGGTGAAGAATTAGGTTATCTGAGCGGGAGAGGGAATCCGTTTTAGAAGCAATTACATCTCTCTTCTTCTGGGTTCTTACACAAAAAAAGAAACTGTTCTTTCTTTCTTGTCTCTCGAAACGAAGGGGTGCTGCTGCTTCCTTTGGTTCAGCAAGAGATGCCTTTGAAAACAGTCGACACTTGAACAAGTGTTCAGAGTTACCTGAAGAGGCAGAACTGAGTTCAGGAGGACTTTGCCCCCTATTGAGACAACTGCGCTTCCATAGACTCCAGTAAATATAGATATTGAAATAAGCTATTAAGAAGACTGGGGCTAGGAATTCCAGGAATGACGTGATGGCAAGGATATACCATTTTGAAAAAAATCCAGGACTACAATACCTCTCTTTTTCCTTCCAAGAATATGAAATTATAATTAGTGGCCCATTCACTAAGAAGGCCAGCACCCAGACGGCCACCATCAGAGCCACGATCTTCCATATCCCAGAGTGTTGAGCTCTGTAAGAGAACTAAGAGAGGCCAAATAAATTATTTTCAGTATTTTCGAGCTATGGTGATTGCGTAAAGCATACCTTAGGTCCTCAGGAGTTTTAGGGATGTGCAAGAGGGGAGGACATTAACTGGACCTGGGTAACATGATGTGGGCCAGGAGAGAGGATTCAATTTCTGTGGAGCCTGAACCACAATGCAGACTTTCTTAGTGATTTTTAAAGAGGAAGGGTGTAACTCTCAAGGTTGAACCTCTTGACACTGTAGAACATGTCAAAATCTGAACTATTAAACAGCTGAAACTGGGTGCATCTTTTCATAGTTTTCCAACCTGCCAGCTGGGTCATGACCAGTTGTTTTGTTGTTGTTGTTGTTTTGTCTTTTTGTTTTTAATGAAATAGGATTTTCCATGTCAAAATGCATCACACACTGTAAGGGTATGTATGTATATATTGTTTGATGAAACTTTTGCTTTTGGAATGTAGATATACATATACAGAAAGAAATGCACATACTGAATTGCAGTATAAAATGCATCCCTCACTGTAGTCACAGTCAAAACATTTGAAAGCATCTGGCTTTCCTGATTCTAGTAAAGGAAGAATCTACTGTGCAGTTCATGCTGATTCTTTAAGGTGGGATTGAAAAGACAAAGAGCTGCCCTGGCTGCTGTGACTCAGGGGATTGACCACCAGACTGCAAACCAAAGGATCATCAATTTGATTCCCAGTCAGGGAATCACTCCTGGGTTGCAGGCCAGATCCCCCCTTGGGGCCTCTCAAGAAGCAACCACGCACTAATGTTTCTCTCCTTCTCTTTCTCCCTCCCTTCTCCTCTTTAAAATCTTTTTTTTTAAAAAAAGAGAGAGAAAGAGCCCTGGCTGGTGTGGCTCAGTGGACTGAGTGCTGGCCTGCATACCAAAGGGTTGCCAGTTAAATTCCCAGTCAGGACACGTACCTGGGTTGTGGGCCAGGTCCCCAGTAGGGGGCACATGAGAGGCAACCACATATTGATGTTTCTCTCTCCTTCCTTTCCCTTCCCATCTGTCTAAACATAAAGAAAGAAAAGAAGAAAGAAAGAAAGAAAGAAAGAAAGAAAGAAAGAAAGAAAGAAAGAAAGAAAGAAAGAAAGAAAGAAAGAAAGAAAGAAAGAAAGAAAGAAAGAAAGAAAGAAAGAAAGAAAGAAAGAAAGAAAGAAAGAAAGAAAGAAAGAAAGAAAGAAAGAAAGAAAGAAAGAAAGAAGAAAAGAAGGAAGGAAGGAAGGAAGGAAAAGAGAGAAAGAAAAACATCATTTCCAGGAAGATGACAAACAAAAAAAAGTTGTTTATATCAGCTGTGGTGAGCTACTATAGTGTTATTGAGCATTAGCAAATCATTTCTTTCTATAAAAGTTTCCACCTGACAAAAATGGCGCCAACGCTGTGGCTAATCACTTCAAGAGACATGGATGTGGCGAGTGCCACTGTCTTTTCTAAGGGTGAAGAATATTCTACATCCACTTATTCACAACAGGCTTCTTAAGCGAAAATGAGGTTCTCTGAGTGAGGCTTGCTTTCGGATTACAGGCCCCATAACCTTTGATAAATCTAGAAATTCTCAAGAATATCTTCTATAAGAAATCAAAAGATACCCCAGACCAACCACTACCCAACCTAAGGGAGAAAGAACGAACCAAGAATTTTGTAAGGGGACCTGTTTTAGATGAGGAAGGTTTTTTGTAGCTAAAATGTTCCGTACTTCTCTGATTTCCTCACTTGAAGGGAAAGAACTGAAACTACAGCATGCCTCCTTTTCACCAGCGTTCCTCTACTACTTCATCTGGAAATTTTTATGTCTTGTTCTGCCATGTTGCCTCATTTTTATTATATAAAAGGGTGCAACACCGCCAAGCACTGTCTTTCCTTGACGGATTGTGCATTCTGGAAAGGGCTCGATGATGGCTGGAAAGATGATAAAACTGGTTTTGTTTCTTTTTTAAAACTGAAATATTTTTAAAAACTGCAGAGAAGTGGTTTTTGGTTGCTTTTTTTTTTTAACCAGATTATGGGTATGTCTGAGGCTGAGCTAAAATGCACATGGTGCTGAAAACAAGCTCCCATGTACAATGGGCTTTTTTGCTTCTGCTTCTCATGTCACTAATTAATACATCTCTTGCACTAAATCTAATGATTATGAAGATGGTAACAATACCCAGATGGTCATAAAACTGCATTTAGTTTTTTAATCACTCTGTTCAGCCTTTGTAATAATATAATGCAGTATGGTAGAAAGTGATCCCATTTCTATTATGCATAAGGTCAAATGGGATAATGGACATCTTAGGGAATTGAGAAGATGATGTCAATCTCTTTGTCTCTGCAGGGCACTTTTGAGAGATAGACGGCTCTAGCATTGCTTGAACCCGGACTCGGGACCATTGGAGTGGCCTCCCTGAAATCACTCAGCAGCCCACCTCTCACTCACTACAGAATATGTCCATTACTCAGAATACTGCTTCTTATCCTGCAACAGCACTTTCCATGTTCTTGATTTTACCATCAAGCATTTTTTTCATCCGCAGGTAAAGAAATACTCTCCTCCTACTGTTTTAATTCTGCATGTATTTTAATTTCCATTCCCTCCAGCTATACTGTCTGCATTCCCCCACCCGCTGCTGCTTAAGCTCTGGAATCTGCCCCTCCAGAAAACTTCTCTGAGCACTGTCATCATGCACTTGCCACCTGTGTGATGCCTTCCTTCTTCAAATTACGGTCAGATTTCCATTTCCCAGGCTCACCATACAGCCCTTCCTTATCACGCTGTCTCCTCTATGTTTGTCTACCACAAGCGGCCAGCTTCCCCATGACCACTTCCTACAAGCTCCAGTCAGCTTTGAAGGATTCCTTCTAGTTTCACACAGCTGTGTCGTGTCTCAGCCCCACATACCAGGTTCCCCAACCCAGAATTCCAGTGCCAGTAAGGGAAGTTCCCATAACTTCTAACTGTGAAAACCAGTGGGATTGTGACTAAGTAAGACAGCTGGTTACTAGAGCCCCAAGCATTCCTCTTTAGGGCCCACGTGGACACACTCAAACTCACTCTCTCTGAGCTCCAGCGCTGGGGCAGCAGCTCGAAAGTCACCTTGGACATGTGGGAAGAAACTGAATTGTCTGGCTTTGGGGCAGGGTCCAGCTAACAAAAGGATAATCAGGCTCCTTTAAGGTTTGTCAATAAAACAAAAAATTAGAGTTAAAAATTTTTTTGCTCAGTGGGTTGGGCTTTGTCCTGCAAACCAAAAGGTCACTGTTTGAGTCCCAGTCAGGGCATGTGCCTGGGCTGTGGGCCAGGTCCTGGACTGGGGGCGTGCAAGAGGCAACTAATCAATGTTCCTCTCGCATATCAATGTCTCTTTCTCCCTCTCTTCCCCTCTCTAAAAATAAATAAAATCTTTAAATAAATAAATAAATATATGCATTCCTTTTTTTTTTTGCTTGGAGACCCAAAATTAACAAGTACATACTCTTCTAAGGATGATAAATTAATGGTTTGACTTACAGCATTGGAGACTGACTGGTATCGATCGTAGCTGATGAGTACGATGTTATATACAGATGCTGTACACAAAAGATAGTCCACAATAAGCCAAAATACACAGGTTTGAATTTCAAGGTTCCCATCAAACAACTTCTGAGGGATGTACAAAGGAATGGAGATCACACCTATACAGGGAAAGAATAGGGTAAAAAATAGCACATATTAATTAAAACAAAGAGGCATAGTACACCACACATTGATGTATCTGAATTGACCAAAAATGGATTGATTACAGTTTAGAAATTCATGGTATTCCATCAAAAAACTCAGGACTGATTTCCTACACATTTTTTAAATACCATTTTTTTAGCCCTGGCTGCTCGTGGCTTAGTGGATAGAGCACCGGTCTATGAATCAAATTGTCGCTGGTTCAATTCCCAGTCAGGGCACGTGCCCAGGTTGCAGGCCAGGTCTCCAGCAGGGGGTGCTCGAGAGGCGACCACACATTGATGTTTCTCTCCCTCCCTTTCTCCCTCCCTTCCCCTCTCTAAAAATAAATGAATAAAATCCTTTTAAAAAAATAAAATAAATACCATTGTTATAATAGCTGTCATAACCCTCATACCTTCAATGTCTCCTTATTACTTTCCAAGTTAAGTTTAGGTCCCAACCTGTATTTTCAGCCATGTACAGCATGAGGCATCTCTATGTTCACGATGCAGCCCAAACAGGATGGACCACTCATCCCTCAGACACATCTCACATGTTCACATCTCGTTGCCGTTGCCAGCGGCGTTCTTTCTTCCCAGAATATCCTCCTCCTCTCTTCTACTGAGAAGTTTATTTACTGTCTTCTTATTCTTCACTCAGTTCAAGAAATGCCTTTCTTCTTATCATTTTTCTTGAAACTTCCTTGGCAGAAGTGACTTTTCTGTCATCTGCATTTTCCTAGCACTTTACTTATCTCTGCTTCCTTCATGTACAAAAATATTCTACTTTATATTGTCGTCATTTTTTAACTTGTTTCTGCTGAGCTTTGGGACCATGTTTTAAGTCAATCTTTGTATTTTTCACAACTTATAGAACTGACCAAAATGACTTAAATAAATTAATGATAGCTAACATCCACTGTGCAATTACTATATGCCAGACACTGTGCTATGTGCATTACATATATCATCTCATTTAACCTTCACAGGAACTTTTGTGAGGTAGGGACATGCAAAGTTAACAAATAAAGAATCTGAAGCTCAAAAAAGGGGACATAATTAACCCAAGGTCTACTTAGCTAGTAAGTGAAAGATGGATTTGAAACCAGGCAACCTGACTTCGAAACCTCTGACTTAAATGCTACCCTTCACTGAATGAGCAAATTAACTGTGAAAAATGACTAAACTGGGCTCCTTTTCCTTTAGCTTTGCAGGCGTTTTTAACTGCATTGACACTTCAGACAGGTGGAACTACTCACTAAAAACACAACCTATTAGATAAAAGCTCAGTTGAAATCTTATGTTGTTAAGTATCATCTTCCTGACTCCACTTTGCTCAAGCCTGTGTTGTCTCCATGGTCTTTAAGCTAATACCATAGTTCCTGCTTTCATCATTAAAGGAATTCTGCTTAGGGCTTGAGTTTTTACTGAAATAGCTCCTCCCACTTTCCTTTCCCTTAACATAAAAGAAGATTGAACTCTTTACTTTCTAAAGATGGATTTGAAGAACTATTAGGGCTCTCTCATCTTCTCAGCTAGCACCTTCTCAGTCAATAAACCTGTCCCTACTCCAAACTCTGATCCTTTGAGTTTTGGCCTTTTAAAGCATTGGGGACATAGACTTTGGACCAGTAATACCATGAGGATATAATGGTGTAATTTCAGAACCAGAGAAAGGAAATGCAGAATGTAGTATTCTGTATCTGGATTTATATATAAATATGAGAAATTAGATACCATACAGGTGAAGAGTTGTGTGTTCAGTTCTTATATGTAGTTCATATTGCCTACTTGTTTGTGTTTCAATTATATTTTTTATGATAACAAAACTTCCTGATGGTTCCTTCCATCTCAAAAATGTGTATGCTCACCTATGGCATAAAATAGGTCACCAGGTTCACCTGAGATAAATCAAAGTATCTTCAAAACAGAGACATCCATTATATTTCAGCCCAGAGTTGTAGCTTTCAATCTTCTGCAAATGAGTATTTTTCACACACACACTCATTGTCCCCACAGAGAAAAAGAGTGAAATTCCAGAAATCATTTGCATCACAGACACCCATTATCTTATTAAAGGTTCAAGAAAGGGTGGGAGTTAAAGAACCTTTTTCACACTGGGATTTACATGAAAGAGGAGTGTACGTGCAACCTCAGGAGCTATTTGAAATACCAGCTTACCCGAGCCTCTAGTTTACCCTTTCGGTTTTAATAACACCCTGCTGTCACCTCCTGTCCTATGTCATGTTTGAGTGCAAATGTCATGCCAAGAGCCTCCATTTTGTTGAATGGTGGAACTATCTGTGGCCCATTCCAGAACAGTTTCAAAAACTGTGACTCGGAAATACTTCTATGATATATTGTGCCTACAACTTCCACACTGCAATCATGCTTCTGGGTCAAATGGACTTGATAAGTAAAACTAAGAGCCACTTCCTTTAAAAGAACAATAGGCCTTTGACATGACAAATTAAGGAAGTAGGGGGAGTGAGAGAAAACAAACTATATTAAAAGATAGTGGTGAAAGCGATAGAATAGACAGTTAGGCACAGGCACAGGCAGAGCAGGAACCATAGGCCAGGTATGGAATGTCACCAGAGCAGAAAGTCCCAGGCAACAGGCAAAACTAGAGAAACAGCTATTACAGGTTAGGTCCTTGCCCCAGGGTGACTTTTCACCCTCTAGCATGTAGTTTAGACCCCCTGAACTTTCATATTACTAGTCCTGTGGTTAGACCTCCTTAGAGGAGGAACAAGGTGGGGCAGGAGAACAGCCTCCTAGACTCCCAAACAAGCTCTTGCATGACCACTCCCTTAAGCATTAAGACCTCAGGACAAGGAGGCATCAAATAATCTTAGGAACAGAGCCTTGGGGCTATTGAGCACAGAGACAGAGTTTTGGTCAAACTAGAGATAACATCTAGGTCTCAGTTGTATTTCTGTTCCAGGCCCAGAAAAGCAGCAAAACCAGACAAGTGATGCCATGGCTGTTTCAGGTCCAGTTACAATGACTAGTGAGTCTTGCCAAGGTGCCCATCAATCAGTAAAGACCAAGGCCCTGAAAGGACACACCTGGAAAGCTGATGAATATTCCTTTGAGACCCTCCCTTGAGACCTCCCTGAAATCCCTGCCTATAGATAACAGATAAAAACTTTAAGACAAAGGACCCAGTGCATGCTCTCTCTTTCTAGAGCACCCCCACGCCTTCCTCCACTTCTTTCCTTAGGTGTGTTATCTTTTGTTTTCTTTCTCCGAAGCACCAAGATTCCTCCTTTTGCTTCTGCAACTTATTTCCTGGATCCACACAGCCCAGCTGGCTCACTACTTCTGCCTCTGTGATTATCTTTCTAAAAGGCTAAATACACCTCTTCCACTAGAGTCCTTCACTCTGAATTCTCTCTTTGCTGAACTGAAGAACCAAGGTCTAACCAAGGTGGGGGCAGGGAGGAAGGAATTGAAGAAACAGGAGGAGAAGAGATGGAAGGAGAAGAAAGAAAAGAAGCCCTGTAAAACCCTAGATGACTTGCCCATCCCAGCGGTTCCCCACCTCTCTGGTCTCACCTCTTGCTAGTCCCTTCAGCCCCACCCCACATTCCTCACTCCACTCCAGCCTTTCTGGCCTCAAATACACCACAGAGACACTGCCTCAGATCCTTGCACTTTCCTGGGCATGCAATGCTCTTCCTCCAGAATGCATCTTCTGTTTGCTCAAATGAGTCTTGATCAGTGAACTCTACTCTGGAAATTTAAATTGCAACCTCCACCCCAAACACACTTTCTCTCTCTCGTTCCTGCTATGTTTTTCTCAATAGCAATGATCATCCTCTAAAATGCTATGTACTTTTTTTACTTATTTATATTGTTTATTGTCTGTCTCCCCACCTTTGCCCACAGTAGAAGTAGAAGCACCACTAGTGAAGCAATTTTTGTCTGTCTTTTTATTGCTGTATCTTCAGCACCTCCAAGAGTTCCTGGTTCACAATAAATGGGTATTAGATGAATGAATAGATGAGGATAAGGAAGCCCAGTTTGCGTGAAAATTGCCACCTGTCCAGGCTGGTATCTCCTCTTCTTTCTGAAGCCTGCTAAGAAGCTATATCTTCCATGAGAAAAATGACAGTCAAAAGGTGTTGGGAGCTAAAAGGCCCAGTGAATTCTCTGGGCCAACAGAAGACTCTGTGGATAACGGTGAGTGTATACAGGGTGTATGGCCTGAATATTTGTGTTGGCCCCAAATTCATTCATATGTTGATGCCTTAGCCCCCAGGGTGGCTGTGTTTGAGATAGAGCCTATAGGAAAGTAATTAACGTTAAATGAGGTTGCAAGAGTGAAGCCCCAACCCCACAGGATTAGTGTCCCAATAAGAAGAAACACAAGAGAGCTTGCTTGCTCGCTCGCTCTCTCCTTGTACACTCAGAGGAACTATGTGATGATGCATCGAGAAGGCATCTACAAACCAGAAAGAATGAGTGCTCCCACCAGGAACCAAATCAGCTGGCAGCGGGATCTGGGACTTCCCAGCCTCTAGAACCATGACAAAGTAAATCACTCCTGTATAAGTCAGATTGTGGTATTTTGTTACAGCAGCACAAGCTGACTAACTCAGGGGAGCTATTGAAGAGAAGAATCGTGACCTGAAGCATAAAGGTACTAAAGATAACTTTGCCATCCTGAAAATGTGGCTCATACTCTGTCAGCGGCAAACACCTTTCACCCTTGAAGATCCTGTCTGGGTCATTTAGCACCTGGTCATGTAGGCCACACAACTGTAGGTGTGAAGAAGTCACCAATAAATGGAAACACCAGTCATGAGATACCAACTTTACAGGTATTACTATAGATGTAGATAGTACATTACTTCCCAGAATAGTGTACAGATGAGATATGTTTATATCGATGTAGCTGCTACTGAAAGTTTTCTTCAATAAATCTTTGCTTTCCAACACTAAATTCATCCTAGGAAGCTACTCAGGTGCCACAAATTTAGCTTCTCTACAGGACACCAGTTCTGAAACAGGTGAGAAGAGAGCGTTCGGCCAGAAAGCCCACAATACTGAACACATGCAATGCTCTCATCTGCCCTTCCATCACCACAAGTTCTGCAGTTCTAGGTCTCATGGCCCCACAGAGTAAGATTTGCTGGCTTACAGCTACAGAAAACTTCTCACAGGCTCCGCTCTGACCCACCACCACCACTATGAGGTTCCGAGCTGAAAGACACTCATCTCTGAGCATGGGAAAGGAGAAATAACAGTATTGACACAAAACCCAAGTCTGGTTACCAAAAGGTCTCAGAGACTTTCCTAATTCTTGTGTTGTGTAAATACAGGCATCCCCAGCTTTATGGTGCTTTGCAGATACTGCACTTTCATCAGCACTGAGGCAAAGCCCTCTGCCAGCAAAAAAGATTATGACTCACTGAAAAAGGCTCAGATAGTGGTTAGCACTTTTTAGCTATAATTTTTTTAAGGTTTATTTTATTCTCGTTTGAGAGAGGGAAAGGGATAGAGAGGGAGAGACATTGATGCAAGAGAGAAACACCCATCAGCTGCCTCCTGCACGCACCCCAACCAGGGACTGAGCCCACAATGCTGGCACGTGCCCTGAATGGGAATCGAACCAGTGACCTTTCAGTTACAGGATGATGCTCCAACCAACAGAGCCATGCAGGCCAGGGCAATAAAGTAATGTTTAATTAAGGTATGCACATTGTTTTTCAGACATAGTACTATTGCACACTTAATAGACTGTCATATAGCAGAATCAAAACTTTTGTACCCACCATGAAACCAAAAAGCTCATGTGACTCGCCTTATTGCGATATTCACTTTATTGTGGTGATCTGGAACTGAACCTGCAATACTTCTGAGGAGTTATGTTAAATAAGTGGACCTCTGGAGGAAGCTGGCAGGGTCAGGGAAAATGTAAAGGATGAGACAGGCAGATTAATAGAGACTCTAAACTGTGTTAAACTGTTCTCGTCCAGAGCAAAGCCATCTCTTTTCCTACCCACCCGCTGAGTAGAGGGGGAACCACCGAGACTGGTGTACAACTACATCTGCTGGGACATTTCCCAATCAAAGGCAAACCACATCTTTATGCTGCAGTGTTCAAGCTCACGACGCTGACATTGCACCATACAGAGAGACATTCCATTGTTATCTGGCACCATCTCTGTGCAAGAGCTTTAGACCTCAGGCTTTCTCAGCGAATATAGTTTTATCCCATTCCTCCCAGCTACCAGGTATTCAGGACCTCATTCCTTTTGACTTGGTCAAAATACATAACCCAGTTCAAGGGCTCAGTGTCATCTAAAAGTTCCACAGTTCTAAGAAGAAAGATGAGAGGGCTATGTATATTTACAGCAGAATATTCTTTATGTTTACACAAATATACTTTTTACATAAATACACCAATTTGTACATGCTTGTACAAGCATGAAGAAGGAATGATAAGACCAGATTTGCACCAAGTTCTTAACACTGGTTAGCTGGAGAGGCAGAATTGAGGACAGAAATGGTGAAATTGTTGCTTCTTTTAATTTTCCTATATTGGTTAGCTACCTTTCTCTGTGATGCTGTCATTTTTATATCATGGCTCCTAAATCAATCTCCCCAGCTAGAAATTTTCTTCCAGGAGTTTTATCCATGCAACACCACAAGCATAAGCTTCCCTCTCAAAACTGTTCCCCCTTTCTGTTAAGAGTTTTATACTTCTCTTAGTCCCCAGAGCTCAGCCTCTCACTCACCTTTCTCTTTCTCCTGCCTGAGCCCACCCTTGCAGCTCTGCAGCCCAATCTTCTGTTCACCCTCACCCTAGCTCAGAGCCTTACCTGCCCCATGACTTCTATCTAGATTGCTGCAGGGTCGTCTCTGAAACAAAGCTGCCCCCTGCTCCCGTTTCTCCCAACTATACTGTACCTCTTCTGATGTCTCTAAGGCAAAGCTTCAATCCATCCAATCATTCACCTGTTTTAATAGTTTTTGACCTTCACATTGCCTGCTGAATAAACTCCAATCCTGAATCACACTAGTGTTCAAGGGCTTTCACTATATAGATTCTGACCACCCCGACTTCATCCCCTATGGTTCCCACACAGCCAGCACACACCAGCCAGCCTGGAGCTCCCACTTACGAAGATCAACACTGTGTTCCAGACAATAAACTGCTATGAGTTTTATTTTACTTTAATATAAATGCAAGCATTTGTGTTGTTGTAGACAATAACACATTAAATTATGCTAGAAGCTCCTATAAAGCAATATCATCAGCTGACACTTCTGTACATTTACTTGTAAGCATTGTTAAACATCAGGAGTAAAAATCTGCAAAGTGCAAGTTTTCAAAGAAAGATTAATTTAAATACTATGAGCCCTTATAATACTATATGATATGCAAGGTAGCTTAGTGTGGGTGATAATTTATAATATTCTATATTGTATCATAAAATAATATTAGCCATGCTATTTAATTGTCCTGAATATCCCATTTCCTGATTGTGCTGGTTATCAGCACATACATTATTTTCTATTACTTCAGAACCATGATGCTAAGGAAATCCTGCTTACTTAAAGAGGAACACTTTTAAACCTAAACATACAAGAAAAACAGATACAGAAACAACTCTTAAACAGTCTTTGAAATATTCTGAGCTTATTTCCACTCTATAACTTATTTCACTTTACAAAAAGAAAACTCTTTTCAGATTAAAATTTCCCTATTATATATATGAAAACCCAATCTCATATATATAATATTCTCCTAAAGTACCATATAGTCTCCCCTGAAATTTAATTCTTAAACCTTGAGTCTTTAATCATTCCCACTGCCATATAGTACCTTGAAATAACAAAAGCTTATTTTAAGGTTTTAAAAATAAGTTATAATTGGAAAAGACTATCTTAAACAAAGACATGTAACTTACCAACAAAGAAGTCACAAATGGCCAAGTTAAGGAAAAAGTAATTACTTCGATGTCTAAGTTTTTTGTCCACCACAAAAGCTAAAATGACAATGGCATTTCCTAACATTATAGCAAAAGCAAGTATGCCCATTAAAAATGCTAAAGTAATGCGAGAGCTTGGTGGTAAAGGACTGGGAATTGTGCTGTTCATCACGTCAAATGATGAAGCTCAGTATAGCAAGGCAATTCTGGCAAATATGGGTCTAAATGTAAACTAATATATATGGTCTTCTGCTCATGATATGTTTTTCAAGATTTCAGTACTGATAGCCATACTTATTTCCTGATTCTAGAAAAGGAAACTTGTGGTAACAGTTTCCTTTAATGTGTTACACACAGTAACATTTTTCTCTTAAACATTTCAATGTGATTCATCCATCTCTCATTAATGGAGAGTAATATATATTTAATACATTATATAGGTAAAAAATTGGGCTCAAATGAGATGCATGTTTAAAAATAATGTAGATCCAATTAAACATTCTCCTCTGACCATGACAAAATTAACCATCCCATCTGACACAATTAAAAAACTGGATGACTTATAGGAAATGATAGCTTTCAAGGCATTACACATTAGCCACTGTCCAGATGAGGGAAAGGAAGAAAATCCAGTGAGACCTGCGTGGCCCCAGGGCCCTCCCAATCTTGAGTTCCCAGCACACAGAGCTGGGGGTGGCATCCAGGAGGGCCCAGCAGGTTCCCTGAGATGGGAGATGGGGCTGAGGGTCCAGGAATACCGGCCAGGACTCAGCGCTGCAGCAGGAGGCTGAAAGTGGGATTCCATTAGAAAGACAATTACACTCTCGTGGCAGAATTACAGGGAAAGTGATAAGGGATATAATATACATACGTGTTCTTTCACCATAATTTTCTTCTTCAAGGTAGTTCATAGACCCTAAAACCAGAGCTGTTATTAGGATTCCAAAGTCTAATATTATCATGAAACAAGATAATATATATATTAACTTGAACCTAAATGCAAAAATGCCAAAGAGATGATGAAATTAATGATCTATTCCCTGTATCTGGCTAAATTGGAGCTGACTGTTACAGATGTTTATTCCTTGTTGAAGACATAATCCCGTTGAGTGTGACTAGACCAAACTAGAACCCTGGAATATCTCAACTCGCTACCATCGATATAGACCAGCCCAGTGACTTAACCAGGAGACCTAACATTAGGGAGAAAGGTTTGAATTTAAATCAATGACGAATGGAACAAAGGTGAAATTATTGTTGAGGGAAGGGTAGCTAATAAATGGGTGTTACAAAATGGAAAATCGAATATAATTTTGGTGCCTAACAAGAAGCATAGAGCAGGAGAATATTATTCTCTGTTAGCTTTGACTCAGATGCCCATTGAGTGAAGCACTCTGGTCACCAAAAAGCACCTCTTTCAAATAGCCAAAAAGTAAACAGGACTGCAGCCAGCCCAATGAATGGACATATACTCCTAAAAGCACCCTGCTTTCTCATAATGGATGAACAGATAGAAGCTCTCACTATAACTCTATGGAATAACACTAATGTGGCTGTATCATTTGATTTCAATTTCACAGGACAAAGCTGTTTTGAACACCTGTGTGAGAAAGAAAACTATGGGAATATATATCCAGTTGAACCCAAAGAACACTGATTAATAACCTAAATGAATGATGGCAGGTGCTGGAAGGTGGGAGGTCAGGAGGCATGAGTTACAGCAATAAGGCCAAAGGAGATTAACCCCTAATTAGAAAAACAGTCATCCCTCATTATATTGCAGTTCACTTACTGTGGTTTCATTGTATAGTGGGTTTAAAAAAATATATATCTAATTCTGTATCGTGGAGTTTTTGCTATATTGTGGGATTTTGCAATATATGGGTATTTATATAATATTTATTATTTTAATTATTTTTGCCTAAAAAATTTAAAACAATATAAAAATGTTAATTCAAACATATTAAAAGAATATTAAATCAACCTAAAATACAGTATGGTATTTCATCAGCAGATGAATACTGTACTGTACACAATGGAAATGCAGTATGCCACTACCACTTGTGCAAGTTTGCTGACATGAGATTGTACACGGCACACTGTTGGCTGATGGAATGGAATGGAAGGCGACCAACCACAGCACTGTGTTCTGTATCCTGGGTGCTGATTGGCTCAGTGACCATAGCACTGGTCTGTTTGCTCTCCCGCACTGTGCCCACACGTTCAGCATCTCTCCTTGTCCACTTCACATCAACGTCTGATCACTGCGTGTAGTGTTGCTGTGGTGTTGTGTTTTTTGTGAAATTTTCATGAAAGTTTTAATTTATTTCAAGCCCTACAATGCCACCCAAATGTTCTGCACCTTCTAAGGCTTCTAGCAGTGAACCCAAGTGCCATAGGAATATGTACCATCAAAGAAAAGGTGGAACTTTTCAACATGTTAAAGGAAGGCAAAAGCTACACGGCTGTAGGCTGCCATTACGGGATCAACGAGTCTACTGTTCGCTACACAAAGAAAGACAAGAAGAATATTAGATCTATGGCAATAATAACTTTAAACAAGACTGCAAAGAGGGTGGTCACTTCCTGCAATAAGGCCATTGTGAGGATGGAGTCTGCATTGGCCCTGTGGATAAATGACTGCAGGAGGAAGAATATCTCTCTGGATACTAACACCATATGGACGAAGGCCAAGAAACTTTATGATAGTTTTGTGGAAAGCATGGACATTCATGACGGTGATGAGGATGAAGACAATGGCAACAACACAGAAGCAGGACCGTCTAGTGTTTCTCCCACCAGACCAACCCCACTTGGTGCCAGCAAGGGCTGGTTTGACAAATTTCAGAAATGCTTTGGACTCGAGTGTTTCTCTGCATGGAGAAGCTGCCTCTGTGAATAAAAAGCAGTGCTAGCAACTCCCCATAACTATGTTCATCATTTGGACAAAGAGATCAGTTACACCTATGCTTTTAGTGGAAATAGAAGTTATGGCCCAGGGCGAAGATACTGCACCACCTGATGAAGCACCTGATTCAGTGTTGTCTTCAGAAGAGCTGTAAAGCTCTTCTTGGCTGCGCAGTACATCCATCTCATTGTCATCACCTTCATCACCATCAGTACTACACAGCTACATAACTCATGATCTTCATCATTCAAGTTGTAGTATACTTCACTGGTGAGTACCCATATAGAATTTTATATGTTGTTAAAATTACATAGGTTTAAGAGTATAGAAAGTGTTTAAGATCATATGAAGTGTTTATAAATAGAGTGTGGGAAAGGTTAACAAGAGAGTGAGAAAGGTTAATAGGAGTGCAGGAAGGGTTTATAAAGCCTTAGAATATATATAAATAATAAAATAAATACAACGCTGCTACTTTGCGGATTTTCACCTATTGCAGGGGTCTCTGGAACGTAACTCCCATGATAGGTGAGGGATCACTGTATAGTGTAGACATATTTTCTCACATTACATAGGTTGCCTTTTAACTCTGTCGATTGTGTCCTTTGGTGGAAAGAAGTTTTTATTTTATTTTATAGTCAAATTTAATATATATTTACTTTCCTTGCCTGTGCTTTTGGTGTCATGTCCAATAAGTTCTATTAGTTTTAAAACATTCTTTTACTAGAATCAGAAATAGATAAAACAAAAAAAATCATAAAGAACTATGGGGTTTAAAGGAGAAAAAATGCCCCCAAAGAACCAATCCACATTGGTGCCTAACTTGACCACACTGTGGTCTTATTTTCCTTGGCACTATATACTCTTTCTGTTCCCTTCTCCATGACTGTTCGTATGCGCAGACCCAGGGAAAAGTTCCGAGGCTGAAAATCTGCTCCATATGCAGGAGGCAGGGGAAGACCAAAGAAAGAGGCTCCAACCTGGCAAACAGCAGTGTTTAGTAAGGGACACTGACCTGTGAGGTGCATCTTGGGTGTCACCAAGACAAAGTGGATATCCTCTGCACCTCTGGGCAGGTGCTAAAGAATTACAGAGAACAGGGCGGGATGGATAGGAGTGCGGGTGCTTAACCCACCCCAGAAAAGGGAAAATGTCTTACATGCTTGCCCGGAGCAGGGCAATGGCCCACTCCAGGATCCAGCAGGCCGAGAGGCTTGGGGCAAAGTTGGTCTGAGAGTTGTCAGAGGGGACTACAGGAAGCAATTTCTGTTCCAGCCCGGACCTAGTTCTCAGGTCCGGCAGCAGTGACGTCATGGAACAGTCTCTCTCCTCCAGAACAATGCAATTTAAACAGCTAGTTACAACCTCCAGGCATTTTTCTTTGTTTTAGAGTTTACCTGGGACAAAAAATTTAGTCCTGCCAACATCCTTTCTTTCACTTTTAAAACTGGCTTCAAGGTGTGCTCTAGTACTTGACAATACAGTGGGGGGTTTTGCTGAAAGCAGACAAGGCTCCTCTGGGACTTCTCTTCCCCGCCTCCCACATACCCTGAGCCACCCCTCTGCACAAGCCCACCTTCTCCTTTCCTGCATTCCACTGCTGCTTTGCTGACTGACTTTCCTGTCTGACTCCAAAGAGCAGCTGCATTTACTTGGGATCATCCCATAATGCTTGTTTGGTCACTGCCTTTTTCTTCTCAAGGAAGTTTCTATAGGTTCTTTCCTCAGGAAATTCAATTTCTCTGACATTTGGCTCCTCCTTTGTCCAACCTCATGCACCTGGGTCAGTCAGAAGCCTAGTATTCTATCCACATGAATGAGGGCACTGTGTAATGAGCCAGGCGGCAGAGCCAACAGCAATGAAGGCCCCAAGGGCATCTAAGTGGCAGTGAAAGGGCTTCCCAACAAGGACACCAGGGTTGACTGAAATGGCACCATCACCTACCAAATTTCCCAGCCCAGTATCTAAACTCTTTTCCTCAACCTGTTTACATTCGATCACCAAGTTTTTTCAGTCTTACCTCCTAAATGCACCTTAAACCCACCCACTTCCATCCATCCCCACCATCATAACTCAATTCAGACCACCATTATCTCTCACTTGGCCTTTCTCCTGGAACCCTTTGGCACTGTAAGAGAGGAGAAATAATTTTCCCTCTACCTTTGTGAATTCTTGGCTAAGACTCCTGGTAATTATAAAAACAGATTAACAAGCCCTGGCTGGTGTGGCTCAGTGGATTGAGTGCCAGTCTGCAAACCAAAGAGTCAGTGGTTCGATTCCCAGTC